GGGGGGGGGGGGGGGGGGGGGGGGGGCCCGCACCAGAGCAACGAAGCGTGGCGTGATCTGCAGCGCGGTCTGGACCGTCTGTTCTGAACTGTCTTGTCCCGCGGTGTACCGTTCTTTTCTCGCTGGCGGAATTTTCGCCCTTCTGCGCTGTCAGCGAGGAATCCCACCCAGAAACGAGCAGCCTCGCGGTGTCTAAGCTCTGAGCAAAGTCTAAATTTCTCGGCAGCTGCGAGCCGGGCGGCGAGCATCTCGGCGTCGAAAAGTCGCCGAAGCGCGTGTACAGGGTAGCTACTATATTCGCAGCAGCTCCCTCGCGGCTTGCCTCGTCAAGCTCGCCCTTGTGCCGTGGTCACGCTGTTGATTGACCGCAAGCGAGCGGTCAGCTTTGCATGGTCAAACTCTCGGGTAGGAAGTGACCAATGCGGCGGTGAATGGGCAAGGAGAGGTCCAAGTCGAGTCGGCAAAGTCACTCTTGCATGACGGCATCAGGATCCATCTGTGCCACAATGCTGAGCGAGCACAACCAATGCTAGTGGCACGATGAATAGGCTCGAGTGGCGCCTCAGCCCCGCGGCAATCGGTACAGGAGCATGCAGACACGGGACAAAGGAGGCGAAAGACTAGCATGTGTTCCTCAGTGATCACCAGTGATCGTCAGGATGGAGCGGTAGCATTGATCCCCTGATGCATGGAATTGTACGCATCCTGTCTAGCAGTACCCATCAGCTCTCCACTTCGGCCGAGGATTGCGTCCGCCAGTTTGGCCGTCGCCGTCGGAAGAGACGAGCAGGAAAAAGCTGGCTGAAAGTGACGAGTGGTAGCGTGACTTGCGCGAGGCCAAGAAATCTGGATACAAGTCGCCTTGCGCAGTCCAGCAGCCAAGAGGTGGACGGCGACTACAGTGAATTTGTTTAGCTGGGCAGCTGGTCGCTAAGAGGCACGGGCTTTGAGCCACCGGGGAACCGGCGAGAGCGTGCATGGCGAATGCGTGTTTGAATTGGGTGGCCATGAATTTGATTGTTCCGCGAGCCACTCAGCAGGTGGCCAGGGCGGAGCTGGATTCCCCACCAAAAGGAAAATCGCCGCGGGTCGGCACCAGAGGCTCCGCTGCGCCCAGGTGCATTCTTCAAAGCTCTGTGCGGGACCAATCAGGACCAACTACCGAATCGCCTGAGCCACGAGCCAATCACGACTCGCAGTGCCAGTGGCGACGCTTCGGAAGTGTCTCCACGCATGCAGGGTTGGCGGCCAACGCATGCAGAGGGTGCACAAGCGTCCATCGGCTCGCCCGAACGCCTCGCCATCCCCACTGAAATCTGCAAAGGTGGCAACGTGTAAGCGCGGGTGCCAAGGCGCTCGGCCCTCTGTCTAGGCTCGGCGCGCTCGTTTCGCCATCTGGCCACAAAAGCCTCACTCTTTCTTCCTATGCGACACAGTAGTCGCCAGGCTGTGTGGACTCGGGCCCCCTTTGCATAGACATCGGTTGTGTCGGAGGCAGCGATCGGCGGTGCGGCGGAAGCAGCGGTGGGGAAGCAGCGCTTTCATTCGGGAGTGGCGAACTGCGGTGACTGTGTGGGGCTTGGTTTCTTTTTTGGTTGAGCAAGCTCGCGCCAAGGGCTCTCCAACTTTCCGGATATCTTATTCTTGACGCACGACGTGGCTCGGTCTCTTCTTTTTCTTTTTTTTGGATGTCGAGGAGGCTGCAGCCCTGCAGAAGGAATTCCTGGGGCCCCCACGGCTGCTCGAGCGTCGAGCGGTTTCGCAGCTGCACGGCGTGCAGAATTCAATCCAGCCTCGGCCCAACCACCGCCCCGCTCTGCCCGGCCCAGCATTCGGGCTGACTTGACTGAGGAGCGAGCCAGCCGTGCGCCACCCTTCGCTCCACGTCGCCGTCCACGCCCAGTTTGACCTCCTCAATTTCGGGCCAGCCGCGCCACTGTCACGGCCACTGCCACTGCCACTGCCACACTGGCTCGCTTGCCCGGTGCGCCCGGCACTTCTCGGCTTGACCTCTGCCCGCCTCCCAACGTCGGCCGGCCGGCGAAAGGCGAATTTGCTCGCCGCCCTCCTTGGCCTCGCTTCAATTCGCCCTCAATTCGCGCGCCAGTTCAGCCCAGGTGTAGCTTGGCCCGCGCCACTCCAGCGCTACCCGACTCGACTCACTCACCCGTCGCCGTATCGACGCGGCCACCCGCCCGTTCCGCATTCCCTCTTAAGCCTCGTCCGCCTGCCTCCATCCCTCCTTCCGTTCCCCCAAGTGTCTTCCTTTGCTCCCTCTCTCGTACATACCCCGTCGGACGATTCCATTCGATCCTTCGCTTTTGTCTCTATCGCAACTCCGTCCCTTCAGCCTCTCTAATACCCGTTTGCCGATCATGGCTGCCTTCAACTCTGCTCTGCGCTCCGGCGCTATCCGCAGCCTTTCGGCTCGCGTCGCTCAGCGTAAGTCTTTGACATTCCGTCACACCTTCTCCGACTGGCTTGGTCATGCAATGATGGCGCATGGCGAGAAGTCCTCGTTTTTGTGTCTGCGCCAATGAACCGCCACCACTGCGTCTCTTTGCGCAGACGTCTTATCCGCATCATGGCGACAAAATGCTGACCTATTCGATCTTTCTTGTTCTACTATAGCCTCGATGCTCTCTCGAGCCGCTCGTGCTCCTGCTGCTTCCGCCATGAAGACCTTCTCCGTCTGGGCGCCCGCCCGCATGGGCCCCACCAGCGCCAACGCTGCTGACGGTGTCCAGGCCAACCCCGGCCCGCCCCCGCCCGTCGAGAACATTGGTGTGGACGCCGTGCTGCGCCAGAACCCCAACTCGCCCGACAACCACACCACCACCATCTTCCAGGAGTTCTCGCTCGAGGGCAAGACCGCCGTCATCACCGGTGGTAACGGCGGTCTGGGTCTCGAGATGGCGCTCGCCTACGTCGAGGCCGGTGCGCACGTTTACGCCATCGACCTGCCCAAGGAGCCCTCGGAGGAGTTCAAGATTGTCGCAGACCACTGCCGCATCATGGGCAAGCACCTCAAGTACGTCTCGGCCACCGTCACCGACCACGACGACATCAACGCCTGCATGGACTTTGTCATGAAGGACTCGGGCACCGACTCGCTCGACGTCTGCGTCGCTGCCGCCGGTATCCTTCAGACCTACGATGCGCTCTCGTACCCCGCCGACGAGTTCCGCAAGGTCTTCGAGGTCAACACCACCGGTGTCTTCCTCACCGCCCAGGCCGCCGCGCGCAAGATGCACGAGCAGAAGCACGTTTCGGGCTCCATCATCCTCATCGCCTCGATGTCCGGCTCGATCGTCAACCGCGACCACCACTGGGTCGCCTACAACGCCTCCAAGTCGGCCGTGCTTCAGATGGGCCGTAACCTCGCCGCCGAGTGGGGTCCCAAGGACATCCGCGTCAACTGCATCTCGCCCGGTCACATTCGCACCCGCATGACTGCCGCCTACCTCGACACCAACCCCCACCTGCTCACCAAGTGGTCCAGCTCCAACCCTCTTGGCCGCCTCGGCCGCGCCCACGAGATCCGTGGTGTTGCCGTCTGGCTCGCCTCGAGCGCCTCGTCGTTCTGCAACGGCTCGGACATTATCGTCTCGGGTGGCCACAACATTTGGTAAATTATCTCACCATGGCCTGCGGACAATCGATTCGGAGCATCCCGAACTCTCAAGCAAGCGAGGCTACCCAGCTTCGCGATAACAACCAAGCATCTTGCGTTTCTTGTACATACTTAGGGCATACTACAGCAGTCTGATCTTTTTGCAAATCACATCCATACATCCATCGCATTCACACCCGTCTGCAATATTGTATGATGCATGTTCGGCATACAAGGTTGCGTTCGGATAGGCCTTGTCCGTGCGAGCAATTGAGATTGTACGCCCGCGACACAACGTACAATATGAATGATGGCCATGCGTGTGCAAGCGTTTGCACGTCATACGGCCTGGTGCCACTGGCGCAGGCTGTGCACGGCTCCGTAGCGTTGAGCTCGGATGCAGAGTTCGGTGGCGCGTTATCAGCGGCGGCCAAGTCTCCGTCGCGCACGGCCCTTTCAACCTCCACTGCGGATCGCTTGAACGCCGAGACGGAGCATTCTTCCATCCGTCCGAATGAAAGAAGCGCAACTGTATCTACGTCGAATCTGACAATGGTCTTTTGTCCAAAATTGATCCCGAAACCCGAGCAAGAAGCCGAAATTCAAGGCTGAGCCAATCACGCCGACTTGATCTGTACGCCGGATCTTCCGACGCTACACCATCACATCCTCCTGCTTTGATCACGATCACACAACCGTCGAAAGTTGGCTTGGGAGCATGTTCGCTGCGAAGTTTGCGATGCGCATTGCCGCACCCGCGCGGGCCATTGCTGGTCAAGCGACCCGCATCGCCATGCCCACGCCGGCACGAACGCCTCTTCTCTCGCTGCCTCGAATGATGTCGACCACGCCTGCCCTTTCGCATGGAGGCATCACACGGCCTGCACCAGGCACTGGAATTCAGATCAACTTTGTCGACCCCAAGGGCGAGCCCATCAAGACGATCGAGGCGAACGAGGGCGACGATCTGCTCAGCATCGCACACGAGTACGATATCGACCTCGAAGGTGCATGCGAAGGCTCGATAGCCTGCTCCACCTGCCACGTCATCCTCGAACCCGACGTCTACGACTCGCTGGAAGAACCATGCGACGACGAAAACGACATGCTCGACCTCGCTTTCGGTCTCACAGATACCAGCAGACTCGGGTGCCAGGTAAAGGTCTCCAAGGACCAGCATGGCATGAAGGTTCAGCTCCCTGCTGCCACCCGGAACATGTACGTCGATGGTAAGTGACTTTCTCCCCGCTTCGTCGTGGCATTCGGCGGAAACTGACCTTTTCTGGGGCTACACACATACAGGTCATAAGGCTGGTCACCACTAAGCGCCAACCTTCCACGCCTCTCGATTCGCTTGTACACTAATACTTCCACGTTCACTTCGCCCCCCGGGGAACGCAGCGGAATTTCACCGACTTGCATCCTTACAACAACTCACACACGGGAACACGGAACACTGAACCCTCTTTGACATTGGATGAAAGGTCGACGCGGGTGTCTAGGTGTGCACGGCAGCCGCGCCCGTGGGCGCCCGCTTAGTAGCTGCGTCCAAACATGGTCCAGCGCTTTGCGTCCTTTGCGCACTGCGGGCACTTTTTACCCGTGATGTCGCCGAACTGGGCCTGGTCGAAGGGGATGCAGAGCGACTTTGCGCCCATGCTCGGGGCGCGCTCGTCCTCGGCCTCGCCGGCGACCGCCTGGCGCGCAGAGCGCTTCTTGATCTCGTCCTCGCACGCCTCGACCTCGCACCAGGGGATGACCACGTGGCACTTGTCGTTGAGGATGCGCGTAAAGTCGTCCCACTGCTCGCACACTTTGCGGCGCGAGCGGTACTCGGCGTCGGCCTTGGCGAACATGTCGTCGTGGATCTGGTCGAGCAGCGTGGCGATCGAGCCGGACAGACCCTCGGCCGACAGCGACGTCTTGGCCTTGTTGTCGCGGCGCACCGCCACGACCGACTTCTTCTCGAGGTCCTTGGGTCCGATCTCGAGACGCACGGGCACACCACGCAGCTCCCAGTCGTTGAACTTGAAGCCCGGGCTGTAGTTGTCGCGCAGATCCGCCTTGGCACGGATGCCGGCGGCCTGGAGCTCCTTGGCGGTGCGGTCGCAGGCGTCCATGATGGCCTCCTTCTCCTGCGCCGTCGTCTTGACACCGATACCGCAGGGGATGATGACCACCTGCACCTGCGCCACGCGTGGCGGCATCACCAGACCGTTGTCGTCGCCGTGTACCATGACCATGACGCCGATGGTTCGCGTGGAGAGACCCCAGGAGTTCTGCCACACGTGCAGCTTGCCCTCGGGCTTGCCGCGCAGCTCCTCGGGAGCCTTGGGGTCCTCGACGGTGATGTCGAACATCTTGGAGAAGTTCTGACCGAGGCAGTGCGAGGTGCCGCCCTGGATACCACGGCCGGTGGTGGGGACGAAGCCCTCGACGGTGGTGGTGTAGTAACCGCCGGCGAACTTCTCCTTCTCCGACTTGACACCGGGCACGACGGGGACGGCGAGGAGCTTCTCGTACACCTGGCGGTAGAGGTCGAGGATGTGCATGACCTCCTTGTCGGCCTCCTCGAGCGAGATGTGGGCGGTGTGGCCCTCCTGCCAGAGGAATTCGCGCGTGCGGAGGAAGGGCTGCGGGTGCTTGAACTCCCAGCGCACGACGCTGTTCCACTGGTTGAGCTTGAGCGGCAGGTCGCGGTGGCTCTGGATCCACTTTGCGTAGTAGGGGTACATGACGGTCTCGGATGTGGGACGGATGGCGACGGGACGCTCGAGGTCGCTGTTGCCGGCCTTTGTGACCCAAGCGACCTCGGGGGCGAAGCCCTCGATGTGGTCCTTCTCGCGCTCGAGCACGTCTGCGGAGACGAACATGGGGAAGTAGCAGTTCTCGACGCCGATCTTCTTGATCTCTGCGTCGAAGAAGTTCTGGATGGACTGCCAGACAAAGTAGGACCAGGGCTTGAGGATGTAGCAGCCCGAGACGTCGTAGTAGTCGAGCATGTCACCCTTGCGCAGCACCTGTGTGTACCACTCTGGGAAGTCGCCAGCCTTGCGGACGGTGATGCCGATCTGCTCTGCGTCGGGGATCTTGGCGGCCTCTGCGGCCTTTGCCTTGTTGGCGGTGGGGCCCTGGGTGGAGGCGGGGGCGGAGGCGGAGCTGGAGGGAGGGGCAGAGACCTTTGCGACCGGGGTGGCAGCCTCTGCCTTGAGCTTGGCAAAGTCGACGACCTCGAGCTTGACGCCGGTGCTCTGGAGGTACTTTGCGATCTCTGCGCCGGTCATGAAGAGGGTCTGCTCGGAGCTGGCGGCGTGGACGGCAAAGTGGTCGGTGCTGGTGGCGAGGCTTGCGTCGAGCACGGCGATCAGGTTGGCAGCGTTGTCCTTGGTGATGGAGAGAGCCGAGACGTCGTCCTTGGTGGCGTTGAGGAACTCCTTGAGCACCTCGGGGGCGGCGAGACGCATCTCCTTCTGGCCGATGTGCTTCGCGACGGCGCCGGTGTTGTATTCGGAGTCATCCTTTGCGATGAGGACGACGGGGGTCGGGGTTGCGGACTTGGCCGTCTTGGGCTTGAAGACGACGGTCTTGGTGTAGTTCTGGGATGCGAGGCCGAGCGACGAGGCGACCTCGGACACGGCGGACCTCCAGCTCTCTGGGCTGTTGGCGGCGGCGTGCTTGACCACCTTTTCGGTCTGGATGGAGAGCGCAGAGAGCGCCGACGAGATGGCCTCCATGGTGAGTGTGCTCAAGCTGAACGAGTGATGGTGTATGATCAGAAAGGTCAATGGCACATCTGGCACACGACGCCGGTTCGACTGTCGAGGCCCCACCGGTGCATTTTTCTGCGCTTAGAGCTCGCGTGCCGAGGCAAGACAGAGTGTCACTTTGGGCGCAGCTCTGGCTCAAGTGACTCGTGCGACTGGAATCTGGCAACGATAGCATTACTCAGCATGACACAGCAGACGCGTCTGGCACGCGACATCCAAAAAAAACCCCTGGGGTCCGCAGCCGCACTCCCTCTCCCTCTCGCTCTCGAGAAGCTTTGGGTGTGGCGACATTTTTTTCTTGCATTTCTCGCGGCGCCGAGCTGAGCGTGCTCACACACGACATCACTGCGGGCCAACCAGACGCAGAGCCAAATGTGACAGAGAGAGAGAGGCTGCCGTGTCTTGAATGAGGATTCCGCCGCGCCCTGCGCAGTGCTGGGTGGGGCCCACGCTCAGCCCGAGCAGACCCTAGTTGCATGCTGCAAGCTGCCTCCTTTGTCGCCCACCATCACCTCTTTCCATCCCGCACTTTTCAAAATGTCTTACAACCGTACCTGCTTCAAGTAAGTGCGCCACTGCCCTAGCTCTCTCATGGCAAGCGTCGCTCACCATCGCCTTTCTTTCCTCTCGACGTCCACAGCTGCGGCCAACGTTAGTATCCGAATCACGACAGCCGCTTCGCTCGCGCGACGGCGCCGGCGAACACGTCAACATGCCTTTGCTTCGCCCCGTCTCTCTCTCATACGGATGCTGCAAGTCAAAGTTTTTTGCGCCCCAACGGGCCCAGCTCGCGCTTTTCGCCCGTCGTCAAGCACTACTGCTCTCAAGCAGCAGTAACTGCCGCATGCTTCTGCACACGGAGAGGGAGAGAGACGAAGAAGTGCTCAACGAGCTATATGGTCTTCGACGTTTCTAGAGGCGAGAAAGAGAGCGAGAGAGCTGACGACGAGAAGATGACGTCCATGTCATATACCCTTCGCTTTGATACCCTGATTCTTGGAATCAACTTCGTTCCCCCATCTGCTTCCTGACTTGCCTCCCTACGCCTTCCGCACCTGCCACGGAATCCTGTTGCTCTTCGTACCCGGCATCGCTCTGGCGCCTACATCTTGCTTTTCCTTGGCACTTGTCCATGCATCGGCTCGCATCTGCACAACAGCCGGCCACAACGCCGCCGCTTGCCCTACCGCCGGCAACCCTTCTTGGTATGTCGCCGCAGCGCTTGCCACAGCGCCTTGCTGCCTCCACAGCGCTTCTCGTGGCCTCTTCTGACCTCGACGCCTTGAATCCTGCCATCACTACCCACGACGGCTTTGAATCGGCCTTTTCCTGACCAACAGCTACAGTAAGTCCTTGGCTTCGGGTCTCCCGATCCCAGCACCACGACTCAGCCTCGCTCATCACTCTCCTCTCTCGCTCTTCATCCACAACTCCAGACTGCGGCCAGCAGGGTCACATCTCGTCGCAGTGCGGCATGGAGGCTCAGCCCAAGACCTGCTACAAGTGCAACGAGACCGGCCACATCGTATGTACCGCGTCTTTGGTTGTGTATCACTGCATCTCTGTCTGACATTGCTGACGCCGTTGCCTCCGAAAATGGATGTTGTAAATCGCAGAGCCGTGACTGCCCCTCCAACCCCGCCCCTTCTTCCGGCGGTGCCGGTGGTGAGTGCTACAAGTGCGGCCAGCACGGCCACATTGCCCGCGCTTGCCCCACCGGTGGCAGCGCTGGCGGCGCCTTCGGTGGCTCGCGCGGCGGCCGCAGCTGCTACAACTGCGGCGGCTTCGGTCACCTTTCGCGCGACTGCACCTCGGCCCCCAGCGGCGGCTCCGGCGCCGGCTACGGCGGTCAGCGCTGCTACAACTGCAACGAGACCGGCCACCTCAGCCGCGACTGCCCCAAGCCCCAGACCAAGAGCTGCTACGTAAGTCTATACTTTTCGCATCGGGGTTTTCATGGAGGAGACCATGGCTGACCAGCTTCTCATCTTGCTTCTGTCTGCGACGTAGCGCTGCGGTGCTGAGGACCATCTCTCGGCTGCCTGCCCCACCGCCGCCTAAAGCGGCGTGCTTTCGGGTCCTAGCGGCTCGAGTCTAGTCTCGACGCTTCCGCGCGAAATGACTGTCTCGCAAGTCGTTCGCGATTCGAGATAGGTTGTGTCGCTCACCGTTGCTCGTGCATGAAGAATATCAGCAGAACATGCATGCTTCAAGTCCTGCTCGCGCTTGTGGTCGTCTGTGATGAGATGGTGGATGCTCCGCTGCAGCCTGTCTTCGAACGGCTTCGCAGCGGCTTTGTCGGCTTCCAGCATTCCCGCAGTCTCTTCGACCCTAGCGTCGTGAATGACAACGGAGAAGTCATCGACCTTGCGGCTGCTGACGCCGTTCAACTGCGTCTCGGCCAAAGAAAGCAACGATCTTGGTTGAGCTTGTTGAGCAGATGCGTGGTCTTCGGGAGCTGATCGCCATACTTCAGCGTTCAGACAAGGTCGTTAACACTAGTCGCTGTCTTTGCGCTGCAGTCAAGCCCGTGCCGTTGCTTTCGAGTCCTCCAATCATGTGCGCGAGGAGGCGGAGACCCTGCGGGAGCGTGAGCGAGCCCAGAGACGGGCGCGCTCGCAGCCCGATCGTGCGGAGTAGGCGGCGAAGAGGCGCCGCAACGTTCCAGCCCGCCGTGGGAGTCCCTGCTTCGTCGTGTACGACGACTCAAGTCCACGCATCTGCTCAACAACCTCGACCAAGACCGCTGCGTTTCCTTAGCCGAAACGCAGTCGGATGGCGTCAGCTTCTACACAGCGGATGTCAAACAGGTTGCGAAATTGGCAAAATTGCTTGAGATGGTCTATGGCTACAGGCTTGAGCGATTAACAGGACGGGGAACATGTCAACACTGGCCGAGCATCGAGTTACCGGGGAACTTCTGATTGTATCCTCCCCTCTCTCGGGTCTCGGTCCAGGTGGTGAGGTTGGCGTTGTAGTAGGCTTCCTTGTGTTTCTCGATGTATGCGGCCGTAGGGGCGTTTTCGGGATCGCACCCGACGTTTTCTTCGCCTTCCACCTGCCACACACGCACGTAGTCGACCAGCATGGTGGCGGGCCAATTGAGCCTATTCCAATCGATTGTTGTAAAGCTGGCCGAGATGCCGAGGTTGAGCAGGATGTACATCGGCTCGTACGGGATGGGGCGTTGGCTGATCTCGGTTGCCGGGTCGGGACCGAGCGCTTTCGAGTTGAGCTTCCACATGGGATTGCCGTCGACAGTCCATAGAATGTACGAGTCCGGATCCGAGCCCGGATTGTACTCGTAGCCGTACGAGGAGAATTCGCCAAGCGTTTCCTGGTACGCGCCGCGCTTGGTGTACACAAGACCCGACGCGGCTTGCTGATATACGGAGCCCGTGTAGGTATTGAGGCTTGCATCTTGTGAGAAGAACTCGGTGGAGCCAGGAGCGTCGCTGAGGTTGTAGCCAGACGAAAATGGCGCAATCTGAGCCGACATGGAAGCATACCCACGAGAGCCGCGGATGTGGGAGGCAGACGCTTCGATGATATCGATCTCCGGTGCCGAGCGGCCGACCCACGAGCCGTCGGCATGGCGTGGACCCGGGTGGTCGTCCGAGTCGTTGCACGTGCATCGACTTAGCCTCTGTCCCGGCAGATACGACAGATACGGGCCGTACTTTTCCACATACACGCCCGTCGTCTGAGCGGCAATTGGGCCGGTATGATTGGCGTACGTCTGGTTGGGGAGTGTGCCGACATCGCACGCATCGTAGGTATAGGGCCACATTCCATCGGTGCTTGCGCCGTAGCCTGCGCGTCCGAGATTGCCCATGGTCCATGCAGCTGGCCAAAGCCCCGCGACATCGGGTGCACCGGGCAAGACCATGGATACCTCGATGTATCCGCCGGTGAAGCAGAACTGGTTCCAGGACTGGAGCATGCCGCCGCGGAAGTTGAGGTTGTGTGTGGGGATCTGGTCGAGGGTGATGACGAGCGAACCATTGGCCGTGGTGACGGCACTGGGGTCGTACCACTCGTAGTTGTCCGTGCCCCAGTAGTGCAGATCCATGGCGGTCCAGAAGGGGTCGTCGCCCGGGTAGAAGCTACGCCCGTCGCGGTTGAATTCGTCGCTAAAGACGAGATTCATCTTTCTGCCCGTACCGTCGAGTGTGGTTCGGGTGCGGACGTTGTCCGGCGTGTCGGGATCGACGAGGGCGCGGCCGATGTGCAGGTCGGCCACCTGGCCCGTAGCGTTGATGCCGCCGAGATTGAAGCCGCCCTTGGTGGACGCCTTTGGTCTAGAAAGCCACGCGATCACGGGGTACCCGCCGAACAGCGCCAGAAGTGCCACGCCTAGCAGCGCGAGCGTGCCGATGTTGAGCATGCCGCGCGGAGAGAAGATGTGCTTGGAGCTCGACTTGTCGGCGTCGGCGTCGGGCTCGTGCAGGTAGTCGTCCGGTTCGGTCTCGGCATCGTAATCGCCCCACATCTTGATCTCCTGCACGCTGTCGGCTTTGCCCGCGGGCGAGAGCGAGAGCGACACACTCGATCCGCCCATACTGCCAGCGATCTTCTTTTCGTCAAAGTAGCCCATTGTTGGCGATGCCGTGGCAGAGAGCGGCGTGCGCGGGCCGTTGGTGAAGCTGCCGGGCGTGTACGGCCTGCGCGGGGTGTTGGCAGAGTAGATCGAGCTGGCTGCATCGTCGATGTTGAGCACGGGCACGAGGCCGGTGGAGAATTGGTCGTTGTGCGAGGTCGGGTACTTGCTCTCCTCGTGCGACGCGAAGCTGCTCGACGAGCTGAGACCCTGTGCATGGTTGACTGCCAGCCCGCCGATCAAGTGGTGCGCGGTTGGTGCTTTGTACGTGAGTGCTGGCGACGCGAGCGGACTGGTGCCTGCCGACCTCGAAATGGGAGGACGCAGCCCGGAACTGCTCTGGGAAGCGCTGTCCACATCGTCAATGGCGATGGACGTCTCGATGCGCAGTCCCTTGGGGTTTGATGGCGCCGACATGTCTGCCCGGCTCTTTCGCTTTGACACGGCGCCGAAGAGACCGAGGCCGTGGAGCACCTTGGAGTAGCGGTTGGACGTGCGGTCTGTGGCAGTGGCTGGAGCTACGAGGCTTTGGCGCTCGTTGCGCTGCTGCTCGACAGCTGCGGGGATGGCGAACGCGAGATCCGGGCTGTTGTACGGCGAGTCGGAGCGAATCGCGCCACGATCAATGACGGGCGAGTCGCGTGGCGAGTCGGATGGTGGTGTCGAGCTGCGCGGCTGCGTGTGCGGTGTTGGACTGAGATGCGCGAGCTGCGGCGAATCGAGCGGCCTTGGCGTCAGTCGTGATGACGCGCTAGCACGAGCGACACCCGCGGATTGGGCAGCTTGCACGTCGTCGTCCAGATAAGGGAGGAAAGATTCTTCCGCGTTGTATGCGTTATACGTCGGTGGCTCAGTGGGAGCGTGAATGGCGTTGGACGCGACAGAAGTAAAGGAGAGCGAGATGGGAAGCTCGACGGAGCTGGCGTGCGACGCTGGACGTTGCTTGTCGAGCTCGACGTCGTCGGCCGGTGCGTGCTGCGACATGGCAGGAGCTTGTAAGCCAGCTTATGCGGCTAGACGGGACAGCGGAGATTTGGAGGTATGTGGCGGCTCTATGCTCGGCGAGGCCTTTGCAACATGGGGAGGGAAGGAAAGCGAGGTAGCACGACAAACACAGCGGGGACTCGATTGGTGATATAGTGGCAATCTCTCACGCGAGCTTTCGGACGTTACCATTGCTGTCCGGTGGGTTTGCATACGGGATCTGGACATCGCGTGTGCAGACGGACGCGAGAAGCTGTCCTGGTGCTCGACTGGATGCTGGCTGGCGCGGCCGGGCGGGTTTCGCAAACCTGTGGCTCGGCGATACCCAGTTGAGCGGCTCAGCAGCTCGGCGCGCTGGCGAGCTGGCGGCGGGGGGCACGCCAACCGGCGTTGCGGGATGGCGGAGCGGAGTGTCAATAAAAACGGAGCGTTGGCAAAGACTCGCGTCGGATTGTGCACTGGTCGTATGCTAGGCGAGACAGGAGGGATCGACAATCTGCACGCTCGCCTCGCTTTTGACACGCGATCGACACCCGTGCCCAGTGTGCGTCTCGCTTCGAGCCGGGCTCCGTTGGTACCGTTTTTGCGTATCGTTCTATGCGCACCGGCCAGTTGCGACGCACGGCACTGGATCCCCCATTCCGCAAACGGCTCTTTGCCAAAAGTGAATGCTAGCTGCATCGACGCGCTGGGCTTCACCTCAGAGATATAACTAATGCGAACAGCGCAGGCACGAAAATCCTCGCGACGGACCCTGAGCCGCGCCTTGACAGCCGCACGCGAATTCCTCTGGCCATGTAAGGGGCCGCGTAGTGTCCTCCCTCCGGTCTTTGTTCGTCGCGTCGTTGAGCCGGCTCATTCCTCAAGCGCATACAGTAGCGTCGAGCTTGCCTTGACTTGGATGAGCCGCTGCGTTCCATACACCGATGTTCAGGGGGCGGAAAGGGGACCTCAGACACGCACCGACGTTTGGAATTTTGGTCGAGTTTCGGTGCGGAAGAGCGCGTTTGGCAGGTCATCGCCGAGTTGCATGCATCCCGCACCCGCACCCGCACCACGCTCGGCCTCGATCCGCAGCCTCGTCACACCTCGGACATCGATGCCCAGACTCCCACCGCATCTTGCATCCCCCGCCAAGTCAGCCACGCACTCACGCGAGCCAGCCAGCCAGCCAGTCCGCATACTACCTTCAACCCCGTCCCCCTAACGTAGAGCCCCTTGCCACGTGGGACAGCCCGCCCGTCACAGGTGACTGAGGACGCCGATCTAACACTTTGCTGCTCGGCAAACCCCTTGCATTTCGGAGCCACCTTTTTTGAAAGCTATCTGCGATTAAAATCCAGTTGCTTCGCAAAAACAGTTGCTCTGGCTCAATTTCGATGTCAGCCTCACCATGCGAATCATCGATAGTCGTGCCGATCTGTCCGATCTCGCCGCTGCCATCATATTCAGCCACAAGCCAGCTTCGGGCCACTTGCTTGAGCTCACACACACGCGCGTCACACACAAAAGACGAATGTCACTCCGAGCAAGTCTTCAGTATTGAGCGTCTATCGACGACGCTTGGTGCCCGCACGCGCTGGACGCGAGGGTTCCGCCGCCGCTGCCGCGGGTCGGATGCTGCCTTCCTCTTCCTCGCTGTCGCCAGCTGTGCCCACCTCGCCTTCCTCAGTGCGCTGCCGCTTTCGCGGTGTGTTGCTGTTCGATGCTGCCGCTGCGGCTGTGGCTCCTGCACTCGAGCCGTCGTCCAGCTCGCCTTCCTCGTCCGAGCCCGCAACGGCCGCCGAGTCGCGTTTCCTGCCTGTGCCCGTGCCGCCGGGGCGGAAGGCAGGAGCAGACGCATTCAGCGTTGCTGCACTACCAGCTGCTGGCCGCGCCTCGTCGTCGCCAAGCGTCCTGCGTGGCGTCGACGACCCGCTCCGGCTGACGGCGGCGCTCTGCTCGCCCTCTTCCCGCTCGTCGTCCTCGCCCTCCTCCGGCTCGTCTCTGTCCTTGCCTGCACGCTTGCCGCGTCCCAATTCGGATCCATCGTCGCCCGCTGCGCCCGCATCGCCAGCTTCGCCGTCGGCATCGCCATCGGCACGCTCCACTTCACGACGCTCGCGCTCGCCCACCTCGTAGCCAACGTCGTTGCGCAGCGCCTCGAGACCATCAATGACGCCGCGCATGCGTTGTGCAGCGTCGTGCGACATGTGTGTGTACTTTTCGCGCTCGGCGCGCACCTGGTCCAGCTGCTCGCGCAGCCGCGCCAGCGATTCGTCCAGCTCGGCACGCGTGGGCAGCTTGACGATCTCGCCCGCCACCACGTCGTACTCGAGCTTGTTCTTGCGCTCGCGCCGCACCTCGTCCAGCCGCCGCTTGAGCGCGTGGATGCGCGCCTGCGTCGCCTCTTGCTCCGACTCGATCTCGCTCAGCTCGTGCGTGTACGAGCTGATCTCCACCTCGCTCGTGTTGCGTGCTATCGACGAGAGCCGCGCGAGCTGCAGCCGAAACGCCTCCAGCTCCGACTGAAACGATAGCCGTGATGCCGCGACTACTTCGGCATCCGTGCTGGAGAGCAGCAGCGTGAGCTTCTTGACCACCCGGCGCAGCGTGCGCTCGTCCACCTGCATGCGCGACTTGATCACCGCTTCTTGCTGCTCCGACGACAGCGGCTGGATCGACGCCCGCGACCCGGACGCTGCGGACGATGCCATGGCGCTCGATGTAAAGTGGGCTGTTGAGTGTGACGGCTCGTGTGTAGGTGGTGGAAATGATGCTGAATGAAGTCGGGTGTTGGGCCGCAATGGGACTGCGTGGCTGAGAAAGTAGACGGCCATCTCCGCCCTCCGATTTCCGGGGCAGAAAAATTTGAAAAGATGTTAGCCCCCCATCATCTAAACAATTCTGAAATCAGCGCGCGGCAACTTGGACGCTTTGTGCTGAGCGCCGGCGGCAGGCCCTTTGTTGGTGTGCTGGGCGCGTGCCGTATTTGACAGCGGCGCCCACCTGCATACGCATGGTGATGGCGGCGCCGCATCACAGTCCTTTGTCTCGAGTCCCTTTGTTCGTGTTCATTCTTCTGGACCCTTTCGATCCTTCCGTCTGCGCCTCAAAGCAGCTGCTCTTGAAGCGGGCTTTTGAGTGCGCTTTGAGTGCGCTTCCGTGCTCCACCACCATCCACACCATCCACCACCTGATTGCTACGACTGACACCATGCTGGTGCCAATCTTCCTGCAGCGCTGGATCCTTCTGAATGCTGTGCGCGTCTGCACAATTGTGGCATGCGCACTTGTAATCGCGTCCACCATACGCACGCTGCGTCTCAACTTCAGCCGCTACCCATCCACCCCTGCCTCGGGGTACTATTTGGGCACCGACATTCCCACATCCTTCCTGGGGGTGTTCTGGTCGACACTTCACCACGTATGCCTGTGCGTGGTGCTGGGTACGGTCGTACTCGCCGAGCTCTCGCTACCCGTGCCTGCCCTGCATCGGCTGTTCAAAAACACACTGCCCTTCTTGGGTCCGAACTGGGGCACGGCGTTTCTGGGCGTGCTCATGATGCTCCTCTCCGCCGACCTGCTCAGTCGACCGGGCCAGGGCAACTTTGCTGCAGCAAGTGCGTGGGTTCTAGCCGCGCTCGGACTGGTCAATGTTGCAACGGGCTGCGTGTGGAGAGCAAAAGCCAAGTTGCTGCGCAGCCCCATGGCGTGGAAGGCGGATGTCGCCGAGAGGATGGATAAGCTCGCCGAGGCGAAAGCCAAGGCGGAGAAGGTGTTCGATTCGCTGCCTGTGCCAGTGACCGCCAAGGAGAAGGTGACCAAGGCTGCACAGGGGCATGCGAAAGGACTGTTGGGCATGCTGGGCATGCGAAAGGAGTCTCCACAGCCGGTGCAGGAGAAGACACCAGCGCGAGACGCACATTTCACGCCAGCTGCCACAGCTGCACCGACAATCTTTACGCCGCCACTGCCGTCTGCGGTGGTCATGTCACGCTCAGCTGTTCCGCCGGCGCCATCCATCTTCTCACCGTCTCCAGCTCCAGCACCGGCACGGGCACTAGCAGTGGCACCAGCACCGGCAGCGACACCGGCAGCGGCACCAGCGTTGCACATCCACACTCGCTCGCGGTCATCCTCGTGCCTATCGAGCAGCACGGCATCCACCTCGTCAGTGTACACGCTGGACCTGCCGCAACCGCCCGCACCCACACTCAAGACGGTGCGATTCGACATGCTCACGCCACCCTCGCGCACTCCACCCGCAGAAAAGACGCTCTGCATCGATGCCACGCCGCCCAGCGCAGGGATCGAATGCGACCGTTCCCCCAGCGTCCTCGCCAGCCTCCAGGCCGCAATGCTCGAAGCCCACGCCAAAGCCTCCTCCATCCCGCCCAAGAAATCCCTCTACCTGGGCAGCTCCCAGTGGCGCCAGGAATACGCACGCACCGAATCACCCTCCCAACCCCCGCACGACGACCCAGACTCTACACACCGACCTTACACCTTTGTCTGATCTAGTGTAGAATGCCATTCCATTCGTGCTGAGCGTGCGTGGTGTCTAGATACGCTCGTAAAACAGCATGTACGCTTTGGCCTTGAGCACCTCGTCGATCGTGGCGGCGCGCACGATCGTGTCCGAGGTATACACCCATCTTCGGCCATCGTCGTGTTTGCGCGGGTCCACATCGTCGTCATCGTCGCTCGCCGTCGCCGGCTCCACGTGTCGGTGCGCATTGCTGTTCTGGCTTGCAACCGTCGGTACGGCTGGTGCCGGCTCCAGCGAGGAGGGCGACACCACCGTCGCTGATGTTGGCGTCGCAGCTCCTGTGGCATGCGACTGTTCCAGCTCGTCCAGGCTATCCCACGACGCCATCGGCTTGAGCTGCGGACGTGGCCGAACAAGCTTGGGCCCCGCCGACGACTCGCTTCCACTGCCACTCGCGACCACCGCCGACGACACCGAGCCGTCTTCGAGCGACGAAATCGACGTCTGTGGCGCAATGTCATGCGACGATCCGCCAGACACACTGCTCTTGCCCAGCGACGTCGTCGACGCCACACTCGTCATGGCCACCGACGCAGCAGGCGCCGCCGATGCTGGTCGAACAGGCACCGGTGCGGGCGACGACGTGCCGTTGCGTGCCGGTCGACTTCCGCCCAGGAAGAACTGCCCCAATCCACCCGTGTCCTTGCTGCTGCCAGCCGCGATGCTGGAGCCCGGCGGCGCAGGCGTGTTGGTGCGGCTCGTGGGTGCCGACCTGGCCACGAGCTCCTTCTGACCTTCCTTGAGCTTGATCCGATCCGACAGCACGTACGCCGTGTAATGGCCAGCCGACAGCGAGCCCTGATGCACAATCACCGCGTACAGGCGGTACTCGGTCTTGGGCCGCCTGATGATCGACGGCACAATCTCGTGGCCCGTCGACGATTGCACCTTGGGTCCTTCGTCCAGATCGCCGCCCTTGGCGTCGACTCCGTGCGCGCCGCGCGGGTGCTTGGCATTGTCGTGCAGATGCCAAGACCACATGCCGTGCCTCCTGCCCTTCTTGTCCGCGTGATGTGCGTGGCGCGAGCCGCGACCGTGCACGCCCGACACCTCGACGCGCACGTTCCGCGCGTCCACGCCCGCGTTGGTCGCCTCCTCTTCGGCACGTCGCCGGATAGCCAACGGATCGCTCGAAGCCTTGAGCCTGCCGCGTCGGTCGTATTCCTCCCTGGGCGGTGCAAGCCACGGCGTAATGTCGAGGTACTCGGGGAACGTGATCTGGTCATCGATCTTCTTGAAGCCCGCCAGGCCCGAAACAAAGCCGCGGCCAGTGGCCTGGAAGCGCTTCAGATGGAAGATCATCACGGGCGGAGCCGAGGCGATCAGGTAGCGCTTGAGCGCACGGCGAGGCAGGCTCTGCGCCGAACGCTTGGGTCCATCTCGCCCAGATGCGCGCTTGGCCGTGGCCTCGTTGCCAGCCGCACCTGGCTCGTCCGTGTCGGTGACTTCGCCGGTTGACGCGTTCGATTCGTCCATGCCGGTCGAGAATCCCGACATGTCGGTCTCGGTGCCGGTATCGTAGCCATTGTTGGGCGCAAGGCCGGTTCGCTGTTGGCGCCGCGCGGCAGCCTCGACGCTGCTGAGACTGGATCCGGAGTCCCTGCGACGACGCGTCATGACGCCGTCAGGACCGGAAGGCGGAGAAACGGCTGCTGTCTCGCCACTCGGCTTGGCATAGTCTCTGGCTATGACGCCGTCTACGCTCTCTACGCCGCCGATGGAGTTGTGGAGAGTCAAGTCGATGCTGTCAGCCGACGCGTCGGCCGATGTCATCGAAATGGTGGGAATGTCGGATCGCTGGCGGGACGAGAGCGAGGCGCTGGAGCTGGTCATGATGGAATCGACACTGCTATTGGCCAGCGTGCTCTGGCTCGTCGAGCTAGTGATCCGAGTGCCATTCACACCACCGCTGCTGGGTGGACCGGTGAGCGTGGCGTCTCCGACTGGCGCCTTGGCGCTCTTGTCGCGGTCCGAGTCGGCGTCTGACGAGCTGGGCTCGCTGGCGTCGTCGTCTTCGACGTCGGCGGCTTGTGCGCCTTTGCGACGGCGTCGGCGTCGAATCTGCTCGCGCTCCTGTGCGTTGGGCGGGTTGGCCAAGCGCCAACAGTTCTTGCAAGCAAAGCTGTTGTCGCCATCCAGCACCTCGACGCTGGTGAACTGGCGGAGAGAGCCGATGAGCCCCGTGTCGGCCTGGTCTTGGCGCACTTTTTGACGGCGTTTGGCACCTCGAGAGTGGGGATCCGGCTCAAAGTCGGCGCATGGATCCCTGCTGCGTGGATGAGCGCCGACGGAACGGAAGAGGCCGTGGAGGGGCTTGCCCTGGGCGGAAGCCGCGGCCGACACGGCGTCAAAGAGCGGCGAGGGTGTGCCGGCTTTGCGGGTAGCGGCCGAGTTGGCCGGGGTGGTGGGGTCGTCGGCCATGATGCGTGAAATGTAGGCGGACTGGTGCGACGAGGACTTGGTGGCACGGAGCGGCGGACGCATGCCGGCAGCCGAGGTGGGAGCGGCGGAGCGATCAGCACCTGGATTGGGGCTGGTCTCGCGACTGCTGGCATCTGCGGCGGGGCGAGCGCTGCCGAGCATGCGGGCGACACGGGTGCCCGTGCGCGCATCGCCGTTGTCTTCGCCTGCAGAAGCGGGAGCCGAGTCGACGTAGGGACGGGAAACGCCGCTGGGAGCCAGGGAGAGCGAGGCCATATCCGGAAAGTCGGGCTCCATCTCGCTGCCTGAGGTGGCGCCGAGCTTCTCGTGGCGGCCAGCGCTCTTCCTGAGGCTGCGCGTGCGCAGCTGGAAGCGGCCGCGGCCGGGCTCGTCGGGCGAAAGGAGATTGGCTGACTTTTTGCGCTGGAGGGCGGTCGAGTCGGCGTCGCTGGTGTCGTTCTCGCTGTAGCGCGGAGTTCCGACGGGCGTCTCGGAGTTGGATGCGGCGGCGGTGGCAGCGGCGGCCGATTTGCGGTCCATGATGGTCCGACCCTGGGTGGCGCGCCTCCAGCGATCTGCCATGCTACGCAAACGGTCTCTGCGACGCGACTTTGGATTTGCATCGTCGTCTCGCAAGCTGAGGCTGATGTCGTAAAAGTCTTCGTAGGTGTGAGAGACCTTTTTGCAGCCTTCGCAGACGACCATGCTGGCAAGCTTGCCGCAGAAAAGCAGGTCGAGGAAGGGCAAAAGCGCATCGTCATCGGTGGGCGGAGCGCCAGGTGCGACTGGGGATGTGCCGGCTGGGAGCGTGACGAGCTGCGTGTTTGGCGCATCGGAGCTGGCGATAGGGGGGCGCATCTTTTTGATGAGGTCGAGCTCCTCCATGCGGCAGGCGTCGAGCAGGTGACGCATGAGCTCGTGGCCGTCCTGTTGACCGTATTCGAGGTACTGGTCGTACTTTTTGCCGAGCTGTGTGAGCAGACGCTTTGGATTCACGTTGATGGAGCTGCGCGACTTGTGGGCGTCGGACCAGAACTTTTCGAGCACATGGCGGAAGGCGGTGTTGAGGGGCAGGTCGAGCACATCGGGCTCGTATGGCGGCGCGGCTGACGAGTCCGGGGTGGCTCGAGTGGATGGTGGTGCGGCATGGTCGAGAGGAGCCGAGTGCTTGGGTGGCTTGATGGTGGCAGCCGGATCTTGTGCTGGGAGTGTGGCGATGGAGGCGAGGGAGGAATCGAGGCTGCCGTTGGGATTGGGTGGATGGTCGATACGACGACCGTGCTCGTTGTCGCTGACGCGTAACGCTGGACTCTGGTCACGGTTGAGCCATTGGGTGTGGCGGTTCGAGGGGGGTGGTGGAGGAGCGAGGGAGGCTGGGCGTTGATCGGCGTCGGGACCCTGTATGAGGAGGCGAAAGTCGCGAGTGTTGGCGATGGCCTGGATGACCGAGTTGAGGAAGCATGTGTTGCCGAGGTTGAGGATGCCCGGGTGGAAGGAAGGGTCGTATGCGGAAGCCGAGGGCTTGGAAGGCTTGGAGGCGGAGGAGGAGGAGAAGGAGCCACCGCGAAGTTTAGGTGTGTAGGGCACGCTGGAGGTGGAAGCGGCCACGGAGTGTGAGGCTTTGCCGGGATAGAGGGGATTGACCATGACGACGACGGCCAAGTGGAGCTCAGCGCTTGTTGAATGCACAGAGCAGCAGTAGCAGCGGCGGCAGCAGCAGCAGCAGCAGCA